CTTGGTCTGGTTTAGAGACCGCTTGCATGCGCTCTTTCATAAACCTACAAAAAAGGGATGCTACACAAAGGATCGATGAATGGTCCATGCACCTATTTGCCTACAAAAAGTGAGTGGTGATTGTCCACCCCTTCGCTTGACCTAGGATGGAGAACTCGTCATGCATTTACGTATTTTCCAAACCGAGAAGATGCAAACCTCCTCTCTAAGAAAGAGATAGCGGGCGAGTTGTAATCATGAAGATGGAAGATGATCCAACCAAGTGATTTCTCACCAAAGATTGATCGGAAAGCTGGATGGCCCAAATTATTTTCCTCCAAAGCCTTGATCTGAAAGGTGGATATGCCAAATTGTTGTTCGCCAAAGCCACAATGATGAGGATGCTCTATGGAATTTCTCGCCAAAGGCTACAAAGAGAGATCATTCATGTACTTTTGTCGCCAAAGTCACAAGGATGGGGACACCCAAATCTTTCTCTTGTCGAAGCTGCAAAACAAAGAGGATATGCTACCTAAGTCACAATGTGCAAATTATAGTGTCGGCTTCAAATAATTCTGTGGGTAATTCCAGAGTGTGCCAAGCTTCCATATTTAGAGTGAATATAGGTCATGAAAGCTGGATGCCCTAAATTATTTTCCTCCAAAGCCTTGATCTGGAAGGTGGATATGCCAAATTGTTGTTCGCCAAAGCCACAATGATGAGGATGCTCCATGGACTTTCTCGCCAAAGGCTGCAAAGAGAGATCATTCATGTACTTTTGTCGCCAAAGTCACAAGGATAGGGACGCCCAAATCTTTCTCTTGCCGAAGCTGCAAAACAAAGAGGATATGCTACCCAAGTCACATGTGCAAATTATAGTGTCGACTTCAAATAATTGTGTGGGTAATTCCAGGGTGTGCTGAGCTTCCATCTTTGGAGTGAATATAGGTCTTGAAACTTGGTTTTTACAGGATCAAGCGAATTGCGATACTGACACTCCTATCTCGAGATATGAATTTTTCGACGAGAGTGCGCAAAGCTGAATGAACCGGCATGTCGAAACTTGTTTGTTGAATTCTGATAAATATCCGGGAAGATCTAGGGATAATCTGATTGTGATCCTCATCCATGTCGTAACTCTGAAAGTCTAGCTTCCGTCGAAGCAAACCGCTCGTGATTTCTATGTCCCTACGCCAAGATATGAATTTTTCGGCGAAGACGTACAAAGCTGGAAATCGAGCACGACAAAATCTGAAGTGAATATTTAAGAATTTACCCGAGACAGTACAGAGCGAATTTTGCTTTAAACTTTGTTATATTGCAGAACTTCTTCTCCAATTTTCGGAAAATCTAACGGCTCGCATTTTCGACGCTCATACAATGAGATATGAATTGTTTTCCACATACGTGCAAAGCTGGCGGTTCCGGACAGCTTCTGCAACAAAGAAGAAAATCGTCAGTTTGAAATATTATTTTGCAACCATAGCAATTAAATTACAAACCCCCTTCATGAGGCTATGGCTAGCAGTCGTAGGAAGATTTCCTCTTGTACAATCATCAAAGTTGATGGTTTACAAAAAGAATAATAAAGGAAGCCATTGCAAATGTCAGGAAAAAAAAAAAGAGAGACCAAAAGTGATAAGTAATCTTCTCAAGCTAAAACTCTTGCCCACGGAAAAAGATAATTAATAGGAAACATTGATGAAGAAGTCTAAGGGAACACTTCTATCTATAGCTTTTTCAAAGAGGTTGTGTTTTCTTGACCTGCAAGAATTTTTCTTTCAAGGAAAGAGTAATTCCTTGTTGATCAGGATTTGGGAAGCCTTACAAAGTAATAAAAATGAATATGAGGCAATTATGAATCAGGGAAGGGAAGTGTTCTTGGTTCAAAAAGTGCAAGAGAATTCATACTAAATTTGCTAGTCTTTACTTGGTCCTACATAAAAATGGGTTTGACTTAATAAATTTAAGTTCATCCCTTTGTTTTCATAAAAGGGAAGTCAGCCATGTTTGTTAATTACTTGTGCGACATGCCGAGTTATTTTAGGAGTTTGATAATACTACTGTTTAGTTTCACATTGATGGTTAATTCACATAGCAAGTAAGCAGTCGAAATGCGACGTGGTTATCATGGTATTTACCGACGCAGATGGCGCAACTAAATTCTTCTCTGAAAGAGATAACAAAACAAGATGTTTTGCTTTGGTACATCAGACTGTTTGGTTAAGTGATTCATAAAAGGACATTGTTTTCCTTGGTGCTTCAAGTATTCTCTTTCATTTCGACAAGCCTATGCCTCGACAAGTCTTGAAGCAGGGGCATTGGTAGACAAATAAAATTTGTAACAACTAAATATCATTCCTGAAAAATAATAATCAAGACAAGAAATATAATGATAAATATTATATTCGATTTCAAGTGTTGGGGTTACAATCTCTAGAATATCTCAAATATAAAGAGATATAGTCCTCTGATTCTTCTCCTCGTGAATGATGGTTCAAGAGCTTGAGAGCTTAATCTTGGACTTGATGGATTTCAGATTTGTATTGCGTGACGAACAATTAGAAGATCGTCACAAGCCATGATTTGGTGTTGAGTTATCACGAACAGAAGATTTGAAGCTGCCCGTCAATGATTTGAGTTCACCTTTGGAATTTGGCCACATACAAAGATTGCAGATATGGAGGAGACCTTGATGCTATTCTTCAAAGCTTCTTTAGCCTTTCCTTCTCATCCCTTGCTTCTTCTAGCATTTTCCTTTGACCCATTTATATAGTTGTGGGGTGGAGTAGCCTCCAAGAGAATCCTAGTGGATTATTGGGCTTGAGGCTCATGGGCCAACCATTTGATAGAAGACCAACTATGGGCTAGCCCAATAGAATATTGGACCTTTATTTAAATCAATTTAATTAGATTTAAATAATTGACCCGATCATACTAGCCCATAATATTTATTTTGACTAGTATATATTTAATTTATGCTAAAATCCAAATTTTTTATGGACTTAAATTTAGTAAAATTTTAATTGTCTACAAATGCTCCTATTTCAAGACTTGCCGGGTGTAGGCTTGTCGAAATCAAGAGAAGACTCGAAGCACCAAGAAAAATAATGTCCTTTTATGAATCACTTAACCAAACATTCTGATGTACCAAAGTGAACGATCTTGTTATGTCCCACTGGGCATGCCAAAATTTGTAACAACTAATTTTCGTTCCTGAAAAATAATAATCAAGACAGGAAATATAATGACAATTATTATATTCGATTTCAAGTGATGGGGTTACAATCTCTAGAATATCTTAAATCTAAAGAGAAGTAGTCCTCTGATTTTTCTCCTCATGAACGATGGTTCAAGAGCTTGAGATCTTGATCTTGAACTAGCTGGATTTCAGATTTGTGGTGCGTCACGAACAATTAGAAGATCGTCACAAACCAGGATTTGGTGTTGAGTTATAACGAACGGAAGATTTGAAGCCGCCCGCCTATGATTTGAGTTCGCCTTTGGGATTTGACCACAAAGATTGCAGATGCGGAGGAGATCTTGATGCTATTCTTCAAACTCAAAGGTTCTTTAGCCTTTGCTTCTCCTTCCTTGCTTCTTCTAGCATTTTCCTTTGACCCCTTTATATAGGTGTTGGGTGGAGTAGCCTCCAAGAAAACCCTAGTGGCTTATGGGGCTCGAGGCACATGGGCCGACCCATTTGATAGAAGATCAACTATGGGCTAGCCCAATAAAATATTGGACCTTTATTTAAATCAATTTAATTAGATTTAAATAATTGACCCGATCATACTAGCCCATAATATTTATTTTGACTAGTATATATTTAATTTATGCTAAAATCTAAATTTCTTATGGACTTAAATTTAGTAAAATTTTGATTGTCTACAATTACAATAAATATTTATATGTATAAATAATTTTAAAAATTGAATAGATGCAATGTCGAGTTGGTTTGGTTTCATTTGCCTTTTTTTTAGTTAAAACCAAATCAAACCAATTGTAGTCTGTTTTTTTTCCAACACCAAACCAAATCAAACCAACCCATGATCGTTTTTTCCCCCGGTTTTACTCGGATTATCGGTTTGGTGCGATTTATCGATTTTGTTTGTACACCCTTATTAAAACTATGATATTGCTAATGCCATGATTTTGTTATGTATAAAAATAGTACCGATATGTTGAAAATTATTATCAAACAAGGGATTAATAATACCAAAGCTAATACATATATTATTTTCTTTAATACATGCTACCAAAGGCTTACTTAGAATCGTGATTAAAATTTTAGATTATGAAAGAACTAAACTTTAAAAACTTTACAAACTTTGATTATTGTCTAAATAGCTATCATTAAGACTTTGTGCACTTCGCCAGACCTAAGGACACAAACCTGATAAAATATCATGGTATAGCCAGTTTTCACACTGGTTAATGAAAAATAGTCAGCGTTTATCAAGTCAATGAAAAATAGACACTATTTTGCTGCAACAGGACCGGTCCAGTATAATATACGGGAGTTCTGGTGCATTTGTGTACGAACTCCAGCATATTATGCTGGACCGATATACTTTGCTAACTCCTGTAAAAATTGCGGGAGACTGGAGCACCAGTGCTCCAAACTCCAGTATATTATACTGGACAATTATACTTGCTGGAACTCACTCCAGTATATTATACTGGACAATTATACTTGCTGGAACTCCCGTAAAATTTGCGGGAGTTCCAGCATAGTTATCCTGGAACTCCCGTAAAATTTACGGGAGTTCAAGCATACTTATGCTGGAACTCCCGTAAAATTTGCGGGCGTATTTTTCCGAATTTTGAATAGTGTTTTCGCTCAGATTTAAAGTGGCTAAATTTCGATGACTTTTGAAACTTGGCTATTTTTCAATGACCAGTGGTAAATCTGGTTATTTTTGAATTTCTCCCTTGGCCAAACCCCCCAAATCATGACCCGAATAAGTCAAAACGGGTTGAGAAGTCTTTCGACTATAATCAACTCACGCATAAATACACACAACACATCTGCAATATTTCTATTTCAATCTCCATAATTTTTCCTCTACCGACCGACGTTCATACATCAAAAATCTCCTTCTCTACATTGAATACTATCTGTTCTTCAATCTGAATAATTTTACTACTTTCTCTTCCCAATCAATCCATATTTGTTGTATTTCTCCTTTTTCTTATATCTATTCTCTGTTTTTTTCTTCTTTTTGTTTTATTTTTATCTCAATTTGTTGCTGCTTTATTCGAGGCTGATTGTAACCACGTTCCTTGAAGGCTCAAGCTGTTGAATTATTCAGATTTCGGTTAGTCCTTTTATTTTCCTTTTTTTTATATATTAAATTTCTTAGAATATTAGGCTGCAATTGCAGTCCCAGCTAGGTTCTTCTTTTTTGAACCTGTGAGTTGTGGAAAATAATATTAGAATATTACACTTGAAATTTGAACCTGTGAGCTAAAAGTTTTTTAATCATTTCGGCACTATACTATAATTTTACCTTAAGACAAGAGATTCAACAGTTTATATATATCCAAACAAATTCCTTTTTTTTTTCTAGTTGCGCAATATAATTTCCGATCAAGGGAATCCAATTGAATTCCCTTGGATTGCTACGCCCTGAGGCGGATGCAGCCTTATAGTACTGGGTACATTTTATGCGGTGTATAAATTTGTGTATAAAAATTCACTAATATTGCAACAAATAGTAGGTCTGTATCATATTTTAAAATACAATAGGTTCAATACTAAAAATCTTAAAGGTTGAACCCTTGACCGGCCTGGTCCGCCCTTGGGTGAGCATGTAAATAGTTCGGGATAGAATTTAGGAAAGGACAGCTTTAGAGGATTGGGACCGTGCACCAGTGACACAGGTAGGTGGATATATGTAGGTGGATATGTGAACATTAGGCTGCAATTCCAGTCCTAGCTAGGTTCTTTTTTTCTGCAATATTTCTTTTGGAGTGATGGGCGGGCTGGTAAATAGTCGGGATGGAAGTGCAGAAAAGAAAACTTTTGTGGGATTTGAACCACCGTAAATAAGTAGAGTTGTAACCATTAGGTTGCAATTAAAATCTTAGCTAGTTGTGTCCTGTTTATTGTTTATTTTTCAGGTTTTGTCATAAATGTCTGAATGCGATTTTTTTTTGTTTAAGCAGGATGCTAATGAGAGGATGATGAATCAAGGAAGCACTACTAACACGATGGCCACTTTGGATCCCAGTCCACAGGAGGTAACCACCCGAATTTTGCTTTCTTTTCTCTTATTCAAACTTTGTTTCTGAAAGATGTATATTGTTATGGCCCATATAGTTTCTCCTTGTCGCATATTCTTTTTTTTTTTTTTTGGCTTAATGCATACTTAGCATATGTGATGATTTTGTCAAAATGAACACTAAGATATTGCGGGATGAGGCCGACGGAATTAAAATTTTTTTCTTCTTCTTTTTCCTTTTTTGTTGGATAAGTGAGTTTTTTGGTTGTCCTGCTATTGTTTTTCCTTTTTGATATTATTTATATATTTACTCCATCCATACCAAATATGATTGTGCTGTTAGGAATATGAGGGTAAACACAGTGGCAGATACCGAACCAAGTTGAAGAGTGAGTTCTAAAATGTTGATCTAACTCTATATTTTTCACACACTTATAGGGTTCTACCAAACCCGCGAACCCGTACTTGGATCTGCCGGGTAAATACATCTAATAGCTCTTGTAAATTTGGGTATCAATTCGGAATATTTTAAGTAAAATTTTATATTCAAAAACTATAAGAAGTACTAGAAATCACAATCATCTGTTTTTCTTTTAAATTTATGGAAAGGTAAAGATTTTATTAAAAAAAGTACCAAGAAGGTAGTGAGAGAATACATAAAAAAAGAGCACATCCTCCTACAGGTGGAAAAAAAAATCCTACTATTAGAGTGCGGAAGATCTATTAGACGAAGATATGAAAAAAAATCCTATAGGCTGAAGGAGTGCGGAAGGTCTAGCAAAGAGTCAAAATCGGATACAATACTCTTCCTGCCCAACATATAGAGACTATTTTAAAACCTAAAGGGAATAGGTCCAAAATTGTTCCTCTACTATGGTATATAGTATAAGTTTGTCCCCCGTTATACTTTTCGTTCAGATCCACCCCTACCGTTAACAAACTTTTTAGAATTGCCCTTAACCCTAACGTCCCTTCACCGTGGCACCCAATCCCTCTATTAATTTGTCCATGTCAGCTGCCAAGTCAGCAGGTCCCACACACTAAAAGTCACGGAAAAATATTTTCTACTATTTCTTTTCTTTCTTTCACTTTTTTCCCCTCTTTCACGTTTCTTGTTCTTCTTCAGCGACCAAAATTCTCAAAGGAAAGCTATCTCTATTCCTAATATCTCAAAAACCAGATCTGATTTCACGGAAAGCCATCTGAAGTTTTGAGTTATTAAATGGATCTTTGAAGTTTGATTGGGGGAAAAATGTGGGTGTAGCTAGATTCAATCATTATTTGTTTTTATGAAGCTGAATTGACAAAGAATCTGGAAAAAAAAAAAATCAAGTTTACTTGACATTTAGTTCTTCGACGTTTTCACTATGTCAGTTTTAAAATATGAGCTTCATAGAAGATTTGGAGGTTCTCTGTGTGATTTGATGCTGGAATTGAAGGGCTAAATTGTTCCTAATGCTTTGATTGTTGTTGGATTAGAGCAAGAATTTTTTTTTTTTGATTTGCACCGGGTGTCCGAGTCTCTAAGAGCCCCGACTAATCCCGGGGGTGCACAGGCCCTCAGCAAGGAGTTTCCCGCAAGTGCACCACGGTTAATTCAGGTTTTACCCAGTCCGATGGCCCTTCAGAAATTGTTTGCACCCAGTGGGTTTCGAACTTGAGACCTTGAAAGGGAGCAAACCCCAAGGCTCAAGTCTAGAGCAAGAAATTGAAACCGCCATTTTTAAAGTTTTGAAGTGGGTTTGAATAGAACTCAAATTTTTATGTTTGAAATCAGTTTTAGGTATTGTCAAGCATACTTGGTATTGAGTAGAAGAACTTGTCTCTGAATTTGAGAGCATTTGGATTGATTTTGTTCGGATTAAATCGAGTTTTGGACAAGAAAAAATGGTGCGGCTACTGAACTAAGTCAAAGAAAATTCGGGTTAATAATTTGTTTGTTTTATCTCAAAGTGGGGGAAAATGGATAATGGCTAAATACTCATGGGCGGATGAAGGTGATTCTTTTTATTTTGGAGAGCAAGAAACCATATGATATATTTTGCGGTTGAAAATGGATGTTACTTTAATGGTGAATTTGTTTTGGATTTAAAGAGGAAGACAAAGGTCATGGAGTCTGGTGTGTGATGATGAGGTTAATTTTAACGTGGGACTTGCTGATATGGCAGCTGATATGGACAAATTAATAGAGGAATTAGGTGCCACGGTGGAGGGACGTTAGGGTTAAGGGCAATTCTAGAAAGTTTCTTAACGATAGGGGTGGATCTGAACGAAAAGTATAACGGGGGACAAACTTAAACTATATACCATAATAGAGGGGCAATTTTGGACCTTCTCCCAAACCTAAATTGTTTAAATACTTCATAGTTAAAGTACTTAAGATTGTTCAAAAAGATCGTTATTAAAGAAAAAGTTGCTTGTCTTCTCGCATGGTACCATTCTGGATTAGTCGGGCCAGCGTGTTCCACATTCTTGATAATTAAACCAACAAAAAAAAAAAGCATTGCCGTGTTTTGGGGGTTGAGTCATTGAGAGAGTATATATCTGTTCTGATAACCTTAGGAGTTTGTAAATTTAACTCGATACATAATTAGTAGGTAGGAGAAAGTAAGTGCAAGAAACTGACTAAGAAGAAAGTATACGAAACCAACTTAGGAGAAAGTATAAGAAACCAACTTAGGAGAAAGTAAGTGTAACATGTAAGGTTTTGCCGTTTTAGGTGCAGAGTAGGTGCCATCTGTTACTGCTTTGGTATCACATTAGAGATTTCTGGGGTTCTGTTGATGGGACCAATGAGGCTTATGGGAGGTGTATTCTTTGAAAAGCCAATTACTTCGTGTGAAGATTTTTTTTTTTGGGTAGGATTGATGTTTGACATGCTCATGCCGTCCTTGGATTTTAGCTCACTTGCATAAATACTCTTGTCTTTTTCTTTTTGAAATGTATATACAACTATTAATGGTTACTAATGAGATATAGAAAGGTAAGAATTCCTGATGTAGCTACGGCAAGTCACTCGAGAATCTCTGATACTGAAGTGATGTAATTGACTGTCTTGTGCTAGTGGTGTTTGGAAGTAATAAATCAAGAAGCCTTGTCTGTTTAACCATCAGTATAAGTATGAAAGGCAATACTATATTTGGTAAATTGGTGTGGCATGCTAATGCTTAAGTTGCTGGTTGTGGACATTATTGTGAAACAAGTGTAAATAGATCTTGTTGTTTGATGCAAGACTATGACTATCTTTATGTTGAGAAACTGGTTCCTATGAGCTGCAACTGTGTGCATAAAAGTCTGTTAAGCTGTAAGCTAGTTTGCTCTTGCCTTTTATGGATAGGGCATTCACTACATGTATAATTTCTGGTCATTGTGCATCTTGTGATAAATGTTTGCTCCACTTGAATGGTGAAAGCATTTAATGCTTCTCTTCATTCCCGGCCACTAAAGCTCTTTTAACGTGCTTATATTTACTATTCTTCTTGAACTGTATTGTGTACCTCTCTTGCTGTACTTTGTTACACAGTATTTTCACATGGGTTGATTTCTTGTTATATGACTGGAATCCTTTTTCTCCTTTATAGAATCATCAGGTTGTCGATGCAAACCAACATCACATGTCTTCATATTACGCCGCTCCAAATTCTACAGTCACACCATGGGCTCATAGTGCAGATAGCTACGCCAGAGAAAATGGAGTTCTCTCACATTCTGGTTATGATCATGATCAACGAGCTGTGCCGCCTCCAAGGAATGTTCAAGATGGATTGAATGTTGCAACTAGTGCTACTACACCAAGTTCCGGTGATACAAATGTACAGCAAGACTATAGTAGCTATACCACCTATCAAAGTACTGATCCTTATGGCTACAGCAATACAGGATATGCTGCTTACTATAGTGACTATCAACAGCAATCTAATCAATCATATTCTCAGCCATCAGGAGGATATCAAAATACAGGTGATAATGGCTATCAACAGCAATCTAATCAATCATATTCTCAGCCATCAGGAGCATATCAAAATACAGGTGATAATGGCTATCAACAGCAATCTAATCAATCATATTCTCAGCCACCGGGAGCATATCAAAATACAGGTGCTCCTTATCAGCCCCTTTCCTCATTTCAGAATACTGGGTCTTATGCTGGGCCTGCAAGTTATTCAAGCACTTACTACAATCCTGGTGATTACCAGACATCTGGAGGTTACACAAGTGGTGCTTACAATAACCAGACCAATGTATGGCATGAAGGGCAATATGCAGCATACACTTCCCATCAGTATCCCAGCTACAGTTCTGATACGAATGCCGCATACAGTTCGACCACAGCCCCTGCAGCTTCCCAGTATCAGCAACAGTACAAGCAATGGGCCGAATATTACAACCCTACACAAAATGATGTCACCTGTGCTCCTGGAACAGAAAATATTTCTGTTTCTAATGTTTCCAGTCTGAGTTGCCCCGTCCCTGCTGGATACTCAGCTTCAGGTGTCCAAGCCTCGGCATCTTATGCTCCACCTGGCAAGCCAGAACCTGGTTTGTCCGCATTGGCTGCGGTGCAGGTTTTTCCTTTACATGCAATTCACAAATAAGTTGCTCTCTGTACTCAGTATTAGATTACTTAAACTTTTATGCAGGCCTAGAGACTCCTATTTGAATACCTGTCGTCATGTAATTCACATATAAATTCAAAACCGGCGTGTTAGTAGCCTAAGAGATGGGAAACATGGATGATAAAGAATGTATCATGCTCATATAGATTTTAGGATTCTTGCATCTAGTAAGTAAATTTTAAAAATATCAGTAGGATTTTCCTGAGTCATTCAAGGCACCATGGGTGTCTCAACTAAACTAATGCAGAAAATGTGAGTCTACTGAACGTGTCTCTGATTGATGGATGTGCTTCACAAGTGCCCCTATGAAGTGGTGCCTTAGAAAATTATGAACTCGACATTAAGGAAGATTACACGCTAGCACATTGAAATGTCAAACTGGACAGTTGAAATTTTTCTTCTTCTTTTCCCCCCTTTCTAATCCATATATATACTTGACTTGACAAGGCTAAAACTATTGTATTTTCTATTAATGTTTCCATGTTGAAATTATATGTTTTTTCTGAACTGGTAGGTAAGTATATTATAGAATAAACAGAAAAGCACTAAGGAAGTGCTTTGTAGGTAAAAGTCAGGAGAACACCTGTGCAAAAACAAAAAGAGGGGTACCTATCTATGCAGAAATCGATTCCTTAGTGAATTTATGAAACCTAACATACTGTTTTCATCCTTTACATCCTATGGGTAGCACCAAAAAGCAAAAAACCAAAGACGTTTGTACTTTAACATTAGTATAGAAAAAGCTTTCCCTTCAAAACACCTAGCATTTCTTTCAGTCAACAAAACCCAACAGATACAAGCTGGCACTGTAACCCACAGATTTCTTGCTGGTTTCCTGATCCCACTTTTTCCCCAAACGATCAACAGGTCTTTCACAGTGAAAGGCATGACCAAAGACAAGTCTAAAAGATTGAAAAACAGATCCCCTAGTTGCCTTGCCACTGTGTAATGCACAAAGAGATGGCTGCTGAACTTTCCTCCTTGTTGCATAAGTAGCATCTGCTGCAAATGCTCATTCCCCTTCTCTGTAAATTGCTTTGTGTCAGACAAGCATTGTAAGCTAACAACCACATAAAGCAGGATACCTTTTGAGGAGCTTTAGTTTTCCATATCATCTTCCAGGGCAAGTTGACTGTACTGTTCAGCACCTTGTTTAACTTACTGTAGCAAGAGCCTAGTTGAAAAAACACCATTCTGTTGCCTCAACCAGAGTAATTGATCAGCTTCATCAGTTAATAAAGTCATCTTATCCAGATCTTTTAGCAAGAGAGCCAATCTTGGAATTTCCCAATCACAACATGGTTTTCTAAAGTTGAAACACCAGCTGTATAATTTTGGAATAATTAAATGTGAAAGTCCTCTAGTATAATTACCGAAGGCTGCTTTCCAATTAATTAGTGATACAATCTTACATACCTAAGTGGATCACAGTTTAGGTTAGCTTGCTATTTTAGTTTTTCTGTTGTTCCACAAGCTAGTAAAGATCTGGTAAGCAATACCTGTATGCTCTTTTAACTCTGCTGTCTAAATATCATTTGTGTTTACTGTACCTTTAACAATCTGGATGTTCTTCAACTTCTATCCTGTATTGTTGAGTGCCTACTATTCACCAGAAGAAGATATGTTATCTACTGTCATTGCAGTCAGCAGGGAGTCCCTCATTTTTTTGCTTTTCACTACTCAATACACTGAGAAAAGCCATTTCAAATTACTCTTCATTTCATGTTATGCAAACTTTGGAGTTCTTTTATTCGCCTGATGAACTCAACTATCAATGGTTTTTTGTCAGTCTCCTGCTGTAGGTGGCACTGTTCATGATAGTTACTGGAAACATTGGGCTCCCTCTTTCCAAAATCAGCAGCCTGATCCAGTACAGTCTTATGGTCAAAAGCCTTTAGACGTGACCCCTTCTCATGACAATCTTCGTACTCAACAAAGTTCTTCATGTCCGCAAGGACCAAGCACACAATATCAGCCCTCTTATCAGATGCCCCATAGTTATCAGTCATCCTTGCCCACTGTACAGCAAACTGTTACATCAGCAGACACGAGCAGTGCAAGCAAACTACAGATTCCCACAAACCCTAGAATAACTCCAACCTTGACCATGGGATTACCAAAGCTGGATAAGCAAAGCTATACAACTAATGCAGCGGCGAAACCTGCATACGTCAGCGTTTCCTTACCAAAAACTGTTGAAAAAGTATCATCTCATGCTGCTGATAATGCTCTCAAGGTCAGACACCTTTTCCTTGATCATTTTTTTTCACTTGCTTCTTGATAATCTTTCATCATGTGCTGGTTAAGAATACAAAATGTAGATCAGTTAGGAAGTTAACTGAGCTAGAGTCCCTCTCTGTTATATTTGTTGTAAGCTTCTCTTAGAATTGGTTAAGTGATAAATATAGATCAGTTTAGTAGTTAAATGTGCTAGTGTCCCTTTCTGTTATATTTGTTGTAAGCTTCACTTCGAATTGGTTAAGTGCCAAGTGACATCTTATGATCTGCTTTCTCATATAACTTACCTAACTTTGTCTTCAAAAAGAATGATATGGTTCTAAGGAAATCCTTTTAATAGCAAATGATCCTATGTTTGACAAGAATGATATAGTACTAAAATAGACCTTTAAGTAGCCAATGAACCTCCGACAACAATCTATTATTTATCAAGTGCATTTGGTGAGTAACTTGTCAAAGCGTATTTGGTGAGCGGTATAATTTTATCAACACCAGCAAGATTAACTTAATTTATTACGCGTTCCATATATTCTTTGATGCGTGTGCTTTTCCTAAGGGAGATTTTTGAAAAAGCTATGAGCAATATTGGCAGAATAGTTATGCAGAAAGTATTTTGATAAACAGTGGATTGGTAGCTTGGGTGGTTGGTTGTGGATGCTTTGCTACAGATGAAGATAAGGGCTTTTAAAAGCTCTCACTACCATTGGTGTATTAGGAGAACCTTTTGAGTTGTTCCAATGAGTCGCCTATGGACAAGCTCATATATTTAATCCGGGAGAAAACAATTGCACTCGTAGCTTGGCTCTTTCAGTGGAAGATATATTTTATTTGATAATCATTTACTTGGTAATTTAAACGTGTCTGTTATATATTCATTTATCTACAGATTGAGATAGTGAACAAATCTACCGAGATTTATGCAAGTTCTGGGTAAATATAAATCCTGTTATGGTAGAAGCTGGGCAAAGTTTTTCCCAGTTATAAATTTTGTTAAGTGTAAGTTTCAGGAGTAGGTTGGAGAATAGCGGAACTACTTTTTCCTGCTTGGCATCATTACAGCTTTTGGAGTGGAAAACTACATGATGGCTTGCTAAAGTTGTTAACTCAGTTAATAATTAATTGATTGGTCTACGCATGTTGGGCTTCTTGTAAATGCAGTGGTGTATATACCATCTATTGTTGCGTATTTCTTTTTTCCACTTATTATTATTATTATTATTTATATTTTGAAGTGTTGACCTATTTTATGCTTCTCAAGTTTAATGCTTTTGCTTATTTTATAGTTGTACTTTCTTAATTCTTAACTTTAATATTGTCATTCATGTTGCAAATACAGCATTTCGGCTAATTAATTGCTTGCACAATCTTTTTTACCTTTTATCTTTGTATTAAGTTAGTCTAATCACTTATGCAAAGTATCTCAGTATCGGTAAGACTACTGATTTTTTTGAACATCCAAGGAAGTTAATATTCTTGGCAGCTTTTTGCTATATGATACTTTAACGCTGCAATCTTCTATGTTGTTATGATTGATCATTCAAACGTTAGGTCTCATTGATGAAAGTTAGTTTAACTGCTCTTGCTTGTGTATTGTCTCCACACTATCTGGGAAACCTTGGTATTTTATTGTACTGGTGACTATTAGTTAGGATCATTGTGACATGTCGTAACGTGGTACTTGTTGTTGCATTGCATCAAATAAGTAGTGGATTATCAATTTTCCTTGTGTAACCAAAGTGATCTTTCTGTTGTCTGCAGCCTGATGCTTTTCCAAAATCACTTCGTGGTTATGTTGAAAGGGCTTTGGCTCGTTGCAAGGATGATGCTCAAATGGTGTCATCCCAAGCTGTCATGAAGGAGGTATCTTAGTGTATTTTTACATTCTCTCTTGGTCCTTTTCCAGTTCCTGCCATGTAATACATTCTACACAGATAATTCTAGACTTGTGAGTCTTCAGATTGTATATTCTCAGATAATAATGGTAGAGCATGGAGCGAGGATTGTCATTCAGCTAGAAAACAGAAGTGGTGTTGATGATGAAATTGCCATAGAATTAGAAGAATTCAAATTAGAGACATGAATAGACATTTCTGTAGTTGGGTTTTTAGCACTACATAGATATGACCTTTTCCCAAAATAAGGATTTTGAAGATGGTTAAAACATGATTTATTAGAGGTTTGACAGGCTGATTCAGCACACAAATACATTATTGGGATATGAATGAAGACCAAGGTTCCTTGTGCTTTAGATACTGAAGTATGCCCTTTTAGATTGAAGTCCTCCTGTCTCTTTTAAGTTTGAGCCTTTGAAGGAACTATGTTTTAGTAGTTTTTGTAATGTTATACGGGCCCTCTTTTTATGTTCTCAAGGGCCTCCTTATATGAAAATTTCACCCTTTCTGTTACGTGTCCCACCTCTTAGGGCTTCCCTTCTTACCTTTATTGGGTACGGAGAGCCTAACTTTGTGCTGTTTGTGCTTCTGAAGAAAATATTATGGTTATTCTGTCTGATAGCAATCTGCTTTCTTTCACCATCCACATCGACATTGTGTTCATTTGTTTCCGGTTGACATTCATTACTTAAACGGCATGTTCAGTTCTGTCCTCACAGCTTTGGATAAGGAAAAGTGATAAAAAAGTTTTGAGTTATATGTCTTGGTTGGAGCATGTCTTGTGTCTTCCACTTGTGTTCAAACTTGTCAATCACATTACTCCAGCATCTTTGAGTTTTGTATCTCTGTGGCATCTGTAATTGTGTGAGAGTAGGATACAGTGCCTCTCCTCTTACCCTTATAGAGCCTGAGAAAGCGCATGAAATTCATCGATGAACAAAGCGCATGAGGAATTTTACTCTATAGAAACACCACCAAGTTGAAGCTATGTACAAAGCAAAAACTCAGCCTTCCCCTTTTCACACATCTTGGAGCTGAGGAAAAAGGGTCGACATCATATATCTCTGTCATCTTACACCAGAAAGCCAAAAAATATAAGCAGGAGTATCTAAGTTTGTGTATAGGGTTAGTTAAGCCTTCAGAGCATCTTCTTTTTTTCCCATCTGATGAGTAACTTCCTCGATTACAAGACTCTTTTCTCAACTGTAGTAATCAATGTACAAGTGCTTTAAGATTTGAAATTTCCTTTTGCAGTTGTGTAGGGATATGTCTCTACTGTCAAAACCCTCTGCCTTCCTTAGGCATGATTCATATTAGCTACTCAATGCAGCAGCCTATTGCATTGGACAGATTGTAGTTATGAAGCCAATTGCTAAGTTAAATATTGGGATTGTGTTGTTTGTGAAGTTTGTGACCTATGATGATCGTTTTTCCTTAACTATTTTTTTTGGGTCCCATCTGCAGAAGTGTTAGTGCTGATATTATTGAGTTGCGTTTGAACTGTTTGCACCATAATGAGTTATAGTTGATATTATTGAGTAACGCTTGAGCTGTTTGCACTATAATGATATGTCGTTTTACCGAGTTCTGGTTCTTTGCCTTGTCCCTTTGTTACTTAAATGTACCATAATCTGCAGGTTATCAAAAAGGCAACTGCTGATGGTACACTTCATACGAGAGACTGGGACACTGAGCCTCTTTTCCCCATGCCCAGTGTGGATGCAGATAACAAGGAGTATGCTACCTCACTCTTCTCTAAGCTGCTATGCAAACCATGTGCATGCACATGCTATGTGGTTACACGAATATCTAAATCTGTACAGTGCACGCACGTATGACTTACCAAAGTAGCTGTCATAGAGCATGAATGGACTAATTACTGCATCTTTTTGTGGGATGTGGACTAATCACAGTATCTTATCTCTGCATTTGTATTTCACCTAGCTTATGGTTGCTATCTTACAGAATTGCTAAACGTAATAAGTTTTGCCGATAGTTGTTAGAATCAAACAGCATGTTCCTCTTCCTTTTACCATTTAAAATTTGTTTTTCTGCTGAAGTATTTGTTAACAGTCAAAAACAAAATGCTTCAACATATATAGTGTAGTTTCCCGGATTAGGGTACAGAATCGTGATCATGAGCCTTTTGCTGTTGATGCTGATGGATTTGCTCTCATGTTCATTTATCTCTTTGACCAAATTCAAGGGATTATTTAGATTTTATCTTTTTCTCTGCAGAAGAGTAATATTCTCCGCTCCAGTTTCTTCATCTCCAACAAGTAAAAGAAGTCCTAGTAGGCGATACAAAAGTAGGTGGGAGCCTTTGGTAGAGGAGAAACCAACTGTTCAACCTGCATCAGTCACTCCTGATGCTTCTAAGTATGGGAGTTGGAACAGACAGGTATTGGTTTTCTGCCTTTGAAGAATTTTTTTTCCAGTTCTCTCTTTCTATTTTTCACCAGCTTCAGCCTCTTGCCTTAAAAGAAGAAGCTAAGAGGTGGTCTAGGTTGTTGACTGGTTTATTTCTCAGCTCTAGGATTCTCCAGCTTCGTGAATCTACTTTCTGTTCTGGCCCATTCCCTGGTTTACTGATCCTGATTATTTTTGTCCCTTTTGTCTAGTGTATTGGCAAATCTAAATGTGCATAGTATCAGCCAAAAGAAAAAGATGTTGAATTCTAATAATTCTTTATCATACTCTTATTGTGAATTGTGGCAGAGATTGGGAATTATGTTATCCAAAGCCTATTTTCTTAGAATCCTCCATAATTCATGAAAAGACTATTCATTTTGTCCAGGTTTCTTAGAGCATATTAATGGTATGCTATTAAGTGAAATCTACCAGCGACTGCTTTTTGGGTTAGGTAGCATACCGTGTTTTTCTTCGCATTGCATGAACCAAAGGTCTGCGTACACACTACTCTCCCCAGAACCCACTTGTGGGAATACACTGGGTATGTTGTTTGTTGTTGCATGAACCAAAGGAACTTCATTATTAGGCAAGATCATTCTGGACCTATTACTGTGTTAATAGATGTTAAATTGTTGGTAAAGGTACATAAGTAGAACTCTGTCCTGACCTAATTAAGGTTTTTTTACATGAGCTTGGCACATCTGATACTGGTCTTTTTAGCTTAGTGCTGCTTAAATTTGTAGCCTGGGGTGTTTTAACCTGTTGGCTTCTGACAATTTGACACTAGATCCATATGACCATATAAAATATCTCTCATTTGAGTGAGTTTGTACAGTTTTCAGGTGGAAAGTCAGATAACAAGGTGAATAATTCGAGTCATATGAAATTCTCTTTACCACAGCGGAAAACCCTCAAAGCTGATGTCTTTAGGCCAGCTAAGAGGCAGTGTGTTGGTGACGTAATGGATACGGCAGATAATGGTGAAGCATCCAGTGATAGTGATAAGGAACGTAGTCAATCGGCCCATAAGTCTGCTGCTGTAGTAGCGGCAGATACTCCAGAGGAAAGAAAGAGACGTGAAAACCGATCGAAGCGTTTTGAAAGAGGGCATGGAAGTCGAGTAGCAAGTAATGATATTCGATCCAGAAATGACGGAGCTGGAAATGTGTACGCAAGAAGGGCTACTGCTTTGGTGCTTAGCAGAAACATTGAGGAAAATGGTAACCATGCTGTTGAAGATATTGATTGGGATGCTCTTACTGTCAAAGGAACATGCCAGGAAATTGAGAAACGCTACTTGCGTCTTACTTCTGCACCGGACCCTGCAACGGTAGACTTGTTGATCCTTTCTGTCATTGCTTGAGATTTAAGGGGAATGCATTATGTCTGTCGACACTCTTCACTTTGCAAGTGTTGATGATTTCTCAAATGTAATTCTGCTTTTGCAGGTGAGACCAGAAGAAATCTTGGAAAAAGCGTTAAATATGGTTCAAAGCTCTCCCAAAAACTACCTTTACAAATGTGATCAGTTAAAATCAATACGCCAAGATCTTACGGTCCAACGCATACGCAACGAATTAACAGTCAAGGTATTTTCCTTATGCTAATTTCATTACAAATGGAGCAAGTTATAAATTTTTTGTCATCATATGCGCTGGCACTTCTAGGCTCTGAAGGTATTTTCTGAAAATGATCTGCATGATCTTTTCATATTATAGAAGTTGTATTGTTCTTTCTTATTAATATCTTCTTCATCTGCCTTCCGTTTCAGGTGTATGAAACACATGGTCGATTGGCAATTGAAGTTGGGGACTTGGCAGAGTATAATCAGGTATGTCCTTTCCGTGGTGGGAATCTCGAAATTTGACATAACTTCTCAGAAGCTTCTTAATCTTTCTATGAAGCTTCTGGTAGGTTAACATGTTTGAGACTATTCCCACTCCATTTATGTTTTAGTTGGACTCTTCTTCGTTTGATGTATTATTAGATGCTGGATCCTTTTCAAGTCAAATTTGCATACTAAGCTGTGGTATTTAGTCTTAGTGAAATCCCTTACTGGGGCTTCCAGTCCAGAAGTTTAAGTATATCAGGGTGAATTGGTTTTGGCTCTCTGAGGATATAATTTGTATTGCCTTTTCCATGGTTCAAATCCTTTTATACACCCGCATTACATGCAAGGAAAGTTTAGTTGGTAAAATACAACAACAACAACAACAACAAGAAGCCCAGTATTTTCCCACAAGTGGGGTCTGGGTAGGGTAAGATGTACACCGCCTTACCCCTACCCTAGAAGGGGACAGAGAGGCAAGTTGGTAAAATGCAATATGATTATTTGGCGGATTAAAAAAAATTATTTGGTGGTGTTGCCATTATATTTCTTACAGCCAATGATTCAGGGGGGGCTGCTGGTATAAGAATGCTCCACTTCATGCCAAAAATAAATCCTTATATTGAATTATGTGTCCAGATTCATAAATGACACCGTCTCACTTGGTGTTTGCTACTAACATTGGGTCACTCCTTCCTGATGCTTTTGTACTTTGGCATTACATTACTGGATTGGATGACTGCCTACAATTTTCCCCGGTTTCACCTATATCCTAGTTCTTTTCTAGCTGGCAGATTCTTTCTGTTAGCATTCTACTTTCTTTGGTCATCATCAATAAGCAAAGCAGTAGTGTGTAGTGAGCAGTATATTTATATTAATAGTTGGTTATGTATTTTGATTAAAGAGATGTAGATGTTCCCTATCTCCTCCCTGAGATCATTTGGTGGTGTTGAAAGTTGTTTCTGAACTATTCCCTTGAGTTGTCTTTTGAACTTTTCAGTCTTTTTCTTGTTTTAAACGAGTGTGCATGCAGCAACTGCAATTTTAAATTGCCTTTTTAAACGTGCAATTTTTAAAGTTGTTTCTGAACTATTCCCTTGAGTTGTTTTTTAAACTTTTCAGTCTTTTCTTGTTTTAAATGAGTGTGCATGCTGGAGCAACTGCAATTTTAAATTGCCTTTTTAAACGTGCAATTTGTTGCCAAGACATCATTGGCATATCTGCTTCAATGTTACTTTTGGACTTACTCTCTTAGTTCTGGTATGTGCAGTGTCAGTCACAGCTAAAAACACTTTATGCAGAAGGAATCAAGGGATGCGATATGGAATTTGCAGCATATAATTTACTCTGTGTGATTTTGCACTCTAGTAACAACAGAGATCTGCCATTAGCAATGTCTAGGTTAGTCAACTGCTTACTGTACTGCCATTCTTGCATACTTTTTTGGGGAACTTCTGCAACACACTTGTTCTGCCGCTTATTTCTCTGCTTCCAGTCTCTTCTGTTATTTGGTTCATGAGCACCAAGAGTATTCTCTCAGTTCCTCTGATTAGTCCTTTTCGACTATCCTTTGTCTACTTTCTTGGGCATCTGCAATACCAAAAAAAAAAAAAAAAGTGGAAGAAGAAATCTGGTTATATTTGCGTGTTACATAATCTTATTGGTGACTTTCCGCAACTTTAAGGATGATTGTGAGGTTAAATTGCAGCAGACACATGTAGTTGACAAATCCTCTATGATATATTCCTTCTAGTTATGACTTAGTTGTGCGACATGCTTTGCCAATGTGAATCACCAACTCATATTTTTAGCTAGTTATGAGTCTGCATTGAAGATTATTCACTGGCAATCAAAATCACGCACTTCAATCCCTGCCTCTGAACAGATTAGCTCGTGTGTGATTTAGGAGAAGAGTGTCTATTCCCCTGTTCATCTTAATTTGTTTCCTACCTTCAGTTATGTAAATAAAGGGAACCGAAAAACGAAAAAGGAAGAAAGAAAACCAAAAGAAAGAAGAAGATAGAGATTTGAGGAGGGAAGGTTTTGGTGTTGGTGGTAGTGGGAAGGGGGTGGTGGAAGAAGACAGAAGAGAAAATGTGTGCAGAAAAGATGGAAAGGTGGTTTCCGAAATGACCTACAAAAAAAAGGCATCAAGCTATTTTTAAGTTGGATGGAAATCTCAAATGCCACAATTTAGTCCATAATTTTATGGAGTTTATTTGTATATTGCAAAAGGTGACATAGTGCCAAAGCGCGAAATTGAATGGTGGTCTTTCTATGGCCTAAATACCATTTGTTTGTCTAAACTCATAGTATATTTGGCCATCCTGTCAAATTTTCATACACCTGGGTGCTGGTAGCTTGAGAAAATCTGCTCAAAACATGGTTAAAACTTACGGGATATCCCCTCTTATCAAATGTGGAATGTTAAGGTATTTTGTTGTGCATTTTTCTTTTCCAGATTACCAGCAGAGGCCAGAGAGAACGAAGCTGTCAAACATGCTTTATCAGTTCGAGCAGCTGTGTCCTCCGGAAACTATGTTGCCTTTTTCAGATTATACAAGATAGCTCCTAACCTTAACACTTGTCTTATGGGTGTGTTTTGTTCTGAATGGTGCAAATTTAGCTACTGCATCAATAATGCTAAAATTTGATGATGTATACTTGTTCTTTGCAGATTTATATGCTGAAAAAATACGATATGCGGCTGTTAGATGTATGTCTCATTCATATCGTCCTACTGTTCCAGTCACCTACATTGCTCAGGTTTTAGGCTTCACAAGTGTCTTATTGACAACTGAAGAAAGTGAGGACGCAGATGGGGTGGAGGATTGTATGGAATGGCTGAAAGCCCATGGTGCATGCCTCACTTCCGATAATTCTGGAGAGATGCAGTTTGATGCAAAGGTGTGTTCGCTTCCTGAATTATATTGATGTATTTAATGCAAACTGCTCTACAAGGATGTGTGGATAGGTGATGACTGAAAGAAATAGTAAACAAGGGAAATTCCCTAAGAAAATAAGAATAGAGTCAGAAGAAGAGATAGAAAGATATGATCTAGGAACCAAATTGATAGAAATAGGCCACAATTAGTATATAAACTAATTACATCGTAATTACGTAGCGACTGATCCAAAGATATCAAAGATAAAGGAAGAAGATCTATACCTTCAATGGCACCCCAAGGAGTTCTTTTCAGAGCCTCACATAAACGTATCACCAAAAATAGGTAAAAAACCTACATTACTCAACTTATACTATCACTGAAACAATGGTCTTGGGCCCAAGTCCAAGTACTTAACATAACTAAAGTAGTCGTGGGGCATGTAGTAGAACCACCATGTTTGAGACATCTTAACTCTATGGTTAAGTCTTGGTCAATGTGGTCAACACTGGTCAACCCAAACTTGGTCAACTCTTGATCAACCCTCTGTAAAGCCTTCCGGTCTTCTTAATGATGTAAGTTCATGGTCATGTTGTCCTCAATATGGCACATGTCGCAAGGTCGAAACCTGCCATTGACAAGGAACCAGGTACTTTTGTTAGAGTAGAGGGATGGGCTCATACTCTCCCTAGTTTCGAACCTGTGGGCCAACTGGGGTTGTGCCAGCTTAGTCACTGGGGATTTCTTGGTCATGAAATAAAAAAAATTAAAAAAAAAAGAATCTGAAACACCTGAGGATCACTCCTAACCGGTTCATGAAGTTCAGGTTCCTTTCTCCTTTCTGTTTGAGACTTGCAATATGAATAAGAATTCTTGAACTTTGACTTCCACAGTATCTATCTGTAGGTGTTCTACTTCATTGTTCTCAGCGACATTGTCTTTGATTGTTTTAACTTCATGAGCTCGATTTTTCTTGTGTTGTTATCATCATGTAATGATGGTATCAACCCTATTCCTTTGCTCCTCTTACTCCGCTATTCCAGAATAATTCTTTTCTCAACGATTATTTAGAATTACATTTCTTTCTTAACAACTGTTTTTGTAGATTATTTACCCCAAAAAACCTGTTTGTGTAGATATGTTGATCTGGGGTCATTATTTAAGCATCTTAACTTGGTCCAATCTCTGTGCATTCCTTTTGGTTCAACTCTTTTTTTTTTTGTGGTTTTCTTCCACGAAATGTTATATGCTGATGGTTCATTTATTCCTAAATGCTCAGGCATCTGTGTCAAGTCTCTACATGCCAGAACCTGAAGATGCTGTGTCACATGGAGATGCCAGTCTCGCAGTTAATGATTTTTTGACACGAAATCCGGTATAGGAAACCTCGTTCTCTTGCTTATGATGGTGGGGATCCAATACTAGGAGAATGCTTCTGCTCCAGATAGATGGTGGAAGTAACTCCAGTTCTGGGTATTCATACAGGAACTCGACAAGGTTCGTTGCATTATTACAATACTGAGTCGGATAACTGTAAATCATGTGCGGTAGCAGCAGCTGCTATTTCTACTGGTGTCCGGGTGTATGAGTGGTGGCTCAATCCTGTGGTTTAATCTCTGATTGGAGAGTTCTTGATTCTTTCATGGATACAGCTAATACATAGAGATAGAGGGACCATAATCATAAGGGACAGCTGCACCGTACTGTAGTTTGGATCCAGAGTAGATGTATTTGTTTACATAGCCTGCAGTTGTAAGATAGGTGATTCAATATTTCGCCAATTTTGTTGATACACTTGTTGGAATTTGGCAACCTTAATAATACCACTTTATATTATTCATGCCTTTTTCTGTTGACCAGTTTTACGTTTACGTTCTTCATATTTGCATAGGTTGTGATGCCACTGAGAGCTTCCGGTTCATGTGTTTATACCATGATATATGAGTGAAACTTCCCTTTGATATGTATTTACTTTACGAAAATGAAATCATATAAGTTGATGATACCGTCTTTCCAGATATATCATCTGAATTTCTTTTGGTTTCTTCTATCATTAAGTTACTTAATACCAGAAGGGATATAAGAAGCAGAATTCTGGCTACATAGTAATAGTAGAAAAGGTGAAACAAACAATGTGACTGAGTGATATAGGAACCAATCACCAAGTGGTGTGCTGGAATGGTTAACCACCCTTAACTAGCGCTTCCGGGTTCAAGCCCTAAGAATAGATCACTTCTTTAGTAGGGAGTGTTTTACCCTTTTAGTGGGGCTATTTTGGTGCGAATCTAAATTAGTGGGCTAGTGAGGTTGGGATATCGGATATTAGAGTAAAATTCTCATAATTAAACTTAGGCGAAATACATAAACGACCCCTTCAAGTTGTCATCAACGACCAGCTGAACACCTCAAGTGAGCCTATTTTCAATTAGACCCTTTATTTATACACAAAAGAAATCAACTAAACACCCGGCAATGTCTGTTACACCCCGTGTTTTCGTATGTAAGAGTACATCATAAGTCAATTAATGTGAGCTCAGAAAGGGAATCATCTTTTAAAAGTTTACAAAGTTAGTTCATCATGTTAATGTGGAGGTTATAAATATTTAAGATCATTAGTACCAAGTAGCAAGAGGGTTTGAAGGCTTAGAAGCTAAACGAATTGAAGAAAATAAGTTTCGTCGAAAGTCGACAAGTTGGAATATTTTACCATGTACTTTTGGGGTGATACTAGGGTTATTAACATTATAAGGAGATTATATTATGAGTTATTTTAGTCGTACGATAGTTGGTGTTATGTTTTGAAGTCAAGCGAGTTGTGGAACAAAAGTTGGAAAAGGTCATCACAAGTTCCATTTATAATATACTGAAATTTAGGTCAAATGTAGATGCACTTTTCTCCCAATATACTTGGAATCAATGTATGATCTACATATCAAATTGAAGATCTACGAGTCTAGTTTCCAACGCATTAAACCGTTTGTCGATACGATATTGGAGTAGAGAGATATTTGCATTTTAGCGAGACAGCGCAGACTGGTAGGTGACAAGTAGGTGCATCACCTACTTGCCAAAATGAGAGGACTTAATTAAAAGCCCCAAAATCGGCCAAGAGGGGTCTTTTAAGGGAATACAAACTGAGTTATTTCACCTGTATTTCAGACCAAGAAAACCTAATTGAACCCCTGCAACTCCTCCCCCAAAATCCCACACAAACCCTAGGGTATTCCGGGTGTTACGACGCAATTCTAGTGCTGAAAAGTCCGGACAGCATGCTAGTTTCTCTTTCTCCTTCTTGTATCCGTGTTGAGGAACTTATTTTTGATGAAAAAGGACCAGGTTTCGTGGGTGATACTCAGTACAAGGTAAGTTTATGCTTCTCCTTCCATTATCTATGCGTTTGCGAGTTGTAACTCGATCGTAAAGAATAGACCTAGCTAGTTTCGGAAGAATGGTATGTTGTTTGATCTTGTGCAATGGTTGGCTGGTTGTGAACTTATTTTTAAGTTATATTCATGGCTGGTTTATTGGACAAGAGGTGTAATGATGTACTTTCGGTTGTATTTCTCAATTTGAAAGAAAAGACAAGTCGAAACGTGTTTAAGTAAACCGAAAAATTATGTTTGAGTTGATGAACTTGTGGGACTGTTTTTGGGCTGTTCCGTGTTGGTATTGGGTTGTCTCTTTTACTACTATTTTTATGGAGTTGAGAGGAGGAAGGGTGTGGAGAAACACCACATAATGGCAAGGTTGTTTGTTGGTCGTTCGTCATAACATTTTCGGATTGTTTGACACAATTATGGTTATCGTGTTGTGTATGAAGTGATAGGGGTATGTTGGGCTTTTGTGATTGTTTTGACTAGTGTGAAGTCATATATATAGGGGAGGTGCTGTCCGTTGTATTGTAAAATAGGTTGTGGTCGATACATAATAGTTACGACGCTTAAACGATAATGAGAGTGTCATTTCTCTTATTGTAGACTAAGGAGCCGTGAAATTGCATAGCTTGAGGTTGGGAAGAATCTACAAGGTATGTTAAGGCTCTCCCTTCATTCTTTTGGCATGATCTATAGTGAAACGAACGTAAACGATACGCTATTTCATAATGAATCTACTCCTAGCAACTAAGGTTGTCCATGTTGTTCTTTCCTTACAAAGTTATTCCAAGAAAGTATGTATGATCCTTGAGTCCTAGTGAAGTTCATATTGATGGTATGATGTCCATGATGTTAATCGATGGTGCAATGACCTTATGTCACTCCAAAAAGGTTTAGAACGTGACTCCATGAGTCCAGCATGCATTATATATGTATCTATTTTACTCTACCGAGACGCGCTATAGTCGGCCGGGTATGGCACCTATTGTGCAACCACTGATCAGTTGGGTTTACCGAGCTCCACGTGGCCGGGTACGTTTTTACCGAGTCCTCTTTGAGGCCGGGTATGATGATGCCCACAGAGGCGTATGTTTTTAAAAGTTTATGTATATATATGTATTATGCATTTCATGTCAGTAGCCCCCAGAGGCACTCAGATGTTACAGGTTATATCTCCTCTATCTCTCTTTACATTACTGTTCTTATTTATGCTTTCCTGCCTTACATACTCGGTACTTTATTCGTACTGACGTCCCTTTTGCCTGGGGACGCTGCGTTTCATGCCCGCAGGTCCCGATAGACAGGTTGACATTCCTCCTAGTAGGCTATCAGCTCAGCGAAGGTGTTGGTGTACTCCACTTGCTCCGGAGTTGCCTATTTGGTCAGTATGCTTTGGATATGTATTGATTGGTATGGCGGGGCCCTGTCCCGACCTTTATGATATTAGGTACTCTTAGAGGCTTGTAGACAGATGTCAGGTGTATGGATACTTGTATGGCCTTTTCGGCTTATGTTTTGAGTTTACAAATGGTCATGTCGGCCTTATAGGCCCGTATGTCACATGTATAAGTTTGTATATCATGCTGGGTCATCATACGTTAAGCAATCCCTTATGTTTTATTCTTGTTATCTCATGAAGGGTTTTCTAGCTCTTACCCATGATAGTATGATAAAAAAGATATGTTACGTTGGTACTCGGTTGAGTAAGGCACCGGGTGCCCGTCGCGGCCCTTCGGTTTGGGTCGTGACAATGTCAGCCCCCATTGCGTGAAATCCACTCTCTGGGACGCGAGTTGCCAATCTAAAATTAGGTTTTTTCTTTTTTCTTTTACTAAAATAATGCGGACCCCACTTAATTTTCACACCCCCTGGAGAAGGGTTTTTTTCATTTTAAATTTATTTTGTTTTTTTTTGGTTAATTTGTGTTAAGTTTTAATTACAAATTACACGTGTCGTTCATTGATTGACTCATTTGGCAAGTGTAGCTCACGCATCTGGTATGTTGTACCGGGGTGTCTATTTGATTTACTTAACAGACGCTTGAAGTGTCTACTTGATAAATAGGTTTGTTGAGGTGTTCAAATGACCGTTGTGGACAACTTGGAGGGACCACTTATGTATTTTGCCCATAAAAAAATATGTAGTGGAAGCAAACACGTAGAACTACGTACCTCCAAAAGAGAAACAGAAGAAAAAAAAGTAAAAGAATCAAACCCAGCAATTCTTAATTGGCCGGTAAAAGCAGAGATGACTTTAGGTGTATCAACATATTTGCTCACTTTGATTGATATAGTTAGATTTGGTCACCAGTTCACTTGCTTTACCTAAAAATAGATGTGTATGCATGTGGGACTAAACTTTACCCTTTTCTATTTCTCTACTTTTTTTTAATTCTTTTGGTTTCTATTTTGGCTCTTTATACATAACTGATCAACAACATTTTCTGCATTATGGGCAGCACAGGGAGTGAAAACATCACATAAATTTTTTGACTGTGTATCGTGCTTGCGTGTGAAGTGTCTGAAGTTTGTTTAATGTCTCTCACATTTGGAGAAGAAGGGAAACAAGAAAAAGAAGATTAATAACCATGGAATGAAATCATTGTTGGTGTGAATGGGAAATGGAGGGAAAAGATATGGAGGAAAATGGAAAGTTTGAAGTATTCCTTTTACTAATGCACTTTGTCCCTCGTCAGAAAATGGAAAGAAAATCTTAGTGCTTATATAGAGAAGTGTGTTGAGAAGAAGTGGGGCCTCGCGCCGTCGTCGTCGCTCGCTTGGTTTTGGCTTCGATTCGCGCCTAACAGAAATTTAATATCTGGCGAATAGGCACCTTCTCAAACAAACAAGTATCTTGGCACCTTCTATTTTGGGAGGAATTAATCCAATAACGTTGGGCAACAGTGAGGGGATTAAATTCCTTAAGGAAAACAATTTTTTGTTGGGCTTGAAACTTTTGTTTTTGTTTTATTTTTGGAGAAATTATTTTCGAACACAATTTACTAACAATCATCTCCAATTTAGTAAAGTAAAAACAGAGGCAAATCCATGATTTTAAATCAGCGAGTGTAGGAGTGATTTTATGGTGTGCCTCACGCAACTGACATTAGTTGTGTGAGGCCTCTTTTTATTTCACACATTTGTGGACCCATATCTTACATATTTGGGTCCACAAAATTCTGGGACCACACAGTTGTGAGACAAAAAAGAGGCCTCACACAACTAGCGTCAATTGTGTGAGGCACAAAATAAAAACTTTCGCGAGTGTAAAGTAACACATTGGACGCGTAGCCAGGGGAAAATGTAGCACTAAAGCTACAAGTTCAATTGTACCCATAAAGATTAAATTCTATATTTTTAAAAAGTTTCCAACTATATAGTGAGTGTGCCTGTACCTGCTGCTGAAGGCATCATAATACACCTTCAACATGTGAAAATCCTCAAGTTTACACTAGTGCAAAAGCCAAGGACAAAAGGCCAAGAGTTACAATAACTAGAGAATCCAATCCAACATGATTGGACAATGCAAAACTAGGAACAACTGAAGGATTATTGCTCTTAGAAGAAGGAAAAGAGGCCCCTGCCTCTGCTTCTGCTGCTGATGTTGCAATATCATTGTCTACATTTACATGAAGTTTCATTCCTCCAAGACAATGTAACCTATTCCCACAAACAAAATATCTGTCCCCTGGTTTTGTCAATGGCAAGGTTGTGTTCCCATTTTTACTCGAATCTAGCACGTTGCTCGTGTTGCATCCCTCGAAATTCTCCTTCGTTACCTCAGACACACTATGGAACGACGAATATTGAAACACTGCAAAAAGGGAAAAATCGATAAAACTAAGATTAAACAAAAATATTGATCATCAGTTTATGCTTTTGAGAAATGTATATTTTTAGTCGCTCCCAACAATAATAGCCGACATATTTTTTGTATACCTTCAAACTTCTTTATAACAACCTCGTTTGTTCCGATATATTTTGGCTGCTATAGTGAAGTGCTTATAGAAAGCATATATTATAACATAATATAAAAATTGGGTTCAAGAAAAACTTGGCTTTTATATATAGTGAATGTTTGTTATATAGAGGTCTGACTATATATATATATATATATATATAGACTGTTTAGCTAGCAAATGTAACTAGTTTTGATCGACCGGCAAATCTTGTATTTTGCCCTTTATGTTTTGTGTAGTACGACAAGTAACTCTCGTAACATAGGAAGTAGAGTATTAATATGCTATGGTTGGTTAAATTGTGCTGATAGTATAAAAATTGTCAGTCTATAATTTAAGTTCATGTTGAAATAGTATATGAGGATACTTACAAAGAACATCACCAACATTGAATCTTTTTCCTACTAACCATGTATCAAGATCAGTACTAATATCCCAGCCAGAACTATCACCCACAATGTAGTTAGTAGCTGAACTTGAACAAATAAGACTTAGAATCAAAATTACAAAAAATAGAAGAATCTTTGCCATATTTGGAATATGAGAAGAATGATGAGAAAGGGGACATATATACATATTCACACACACATATATACACACTATATATTACATGCAGGTGAAAATGAGTCGAAATAGCTTATGATTTGAGTTATGTTATGGACTAATGTTATTTAGGTTTGAGTGGTTGAGAATAGATGAAAGTTGGAAGGGTAGTTTAACACCAACCCCAAATTCTTTCTTTTTAATCTGTCTTGACAATATAATGATGATCTCATCTGGTAAGGAAGCTATCAACCAAATAATGAGTTTAGGCATTTCAATTTACTTCATCGAGTTTGATACTAAACATTTCCATATCCAAATTTTTAAGATAAGTAAACAAGTCATGAACGAACAGAAGATAATTTTTTAAGAATAACAACAACGATGGGGTCTGGGAGGGTAGTGTGTACGCAGACCTTACGCCTATCTTTGAAGATAGAGATGCTATTGATCCCGCCCAACTATGCCTTATAAATAGGACTCTGCGGACGTTGCAAATATAACCCGAGTATTACGCCCATGGTCGAATCCACAGAGAGTTAACCTATCAACCACTATCTTCAGACCCACTAATTCTTCAGAACCAGCTTCCCAAATATTCAAATCTCAGTTGAGTGTTCTTTAACAACTAGCTTGCAAGTAACTAAATAGCTGTAAACTAAACTAATAAGGTTGTAAACAATTATGAGGAAAAGCTAAGGCAATGATTTCCCCTATTGATGGAATCCCTTCTGTTTATGCTCATACAAATTTACCAACACATCTCTATCAATCATGAACGCTAATCTTACCGTAAATCTCTCCCGAGTAATCACAGTAATTTACTATTGCACTCTCCCGAGATACACTAGCTTACTTTATTTAGCACGATTCACTTTAGATTACACCCAAGGCTTCGTTATCCCTAATCCCGCCTTTAAACCCGCAATTATAGATTCCTCTAATAATCTAGGAGTGGTGTTGTTCAACAATACCCTAAATATGCACTCTTTTCCAAGTTATGCACACTAAATAGGCACAGCTAATTGAGGATCCTGTCAATTAACTACAACAAACACGAAGTTGAACAAATAGAGATTAAACTAGCAATTTGTATTCACATAAACAAGAAGTTCATCACCCAATAGGTTCCATCAAAAGCTTAGACAAGGAATTTAGCTACTCATGGCTATGGGAAGATAAACTAAGATTGAATTCATCATAAAAATCAAAAGTAAAGAAGAAAGATGTTTGGAGTATTCTCTCACAATGGTTTTCCTTTCTAAGAAACCTTAAAAAAAATTACATGCCTCTCTTGGGCGAAGTCTAATGTTTTAAATAGGGTTTAGGTCTAAAAATTCCGTGTTTTACACTTTGGTCCCTGAAGTTCTCGGCTTCCGCTGCGGTTCTGCCGCGGTCGCGGCCAGACCGCGGCCAAAAGCCTTCTTTGATTCTGAAATCATCCGCAGCTGTCTTCCACCGCGGTTCTACCGCGGTCGCGGTGGAACCGCGGTAAAACCAGTGCTCTGAATCTTCGGCCTGTTTTGCATGGTTCACTTGGAAAATTTCACAGTTGGCCTCTTTTTCATCAATTTTGACTCCAAAACTGCTCCTTAGCCTTCCTTATACATATATCACCTGCAAATCATGAAAAGCACTAATAAGAGCATTTTGTTATCACTTTTAGCATTAAAACTACACAAGAAGGTGATTATTTAAGGCGTGATTATAGTCAAATTCACCTATTATCAACACCCCACGCTTAAACCTTTGCTCGTCCTCGAGCAAACTAAACCACGCTTCTAGGCCTAACTGCTCAATGCATTGCCCCAATATATGTCACACCTGCTATTATCAATGATCGACCTAAGCAGTGCACAATCATATCTCAAATGCAGACTCTCATGCCAAGACACACTTGTGCTCACTCTAATTACTCTAACAGAAGTGAAGACTCACTTTTCTTCCCGAGTCACATGCCCTCACATAAACAACATCTGAGAGAAGTTCCACACACACACATAAAATTCAACAACAAGGAACCATATATAGAAAGAATTCACTCACTCTCAGCAAAGAGCATTCACATGCCACACAGACACACCATAAGCTTGCCCCTAGTGTAATACTCCACGAATCGAGCCATTCAGTCAAAGATCAAGAGGTCTTTATAGGTTGTAATGTAGGCTAAGGGACGGGTCGGATATATTTGGATATAGTGACTAACCTCCCTAAGCACTTTTAATACACACTTCCTTTTATTTCCCCTTCATGTTCAACCCAATCATTATTCCACATTTTGTTTCACTTGTGACCCCCACTTTTCTTTAGGTACAACTGGCTTCTTCTTTTTCTTTTTTTTTTTAAGATTTATTGTACACTGCCAGTTCACCAATCAGAACCTTCATTCTTGATTCCCTTTTTTCACTAACTCTCTCCCACCCCACACTTTGACTTTTGTATATTCTTTAGTGATTCAAGTGCTTCTAGGAGGTAAAGGTTCAAACAATTAGCTTATTCAAACACAGCGATTTAGATCATTATAGGGTTATCAAAGAACATGCTTCAGGCTCAAAGGGGTTAACTATGGTAATATGCACAGGTGGATTCTCAAGTATAGAGGGTTGCACAAAGAAATGCCTCAATCATCTCTAAAACCAAACGACTTCTATTTCGCTTTGCACACACACAGGGTAAGTTCTAGGTATCATATGCAAGCATAGGATGCAAGTAACAACTCACACACACTTAGCATGTAACTCATTCCGAATCAGTTCATCAACACAATCATACGAGTGTTCAAGCCAGATAAGATGTGCAAAATTAAGGCATATATTATGAGTCCACAAACAAGCTTAGACATCGCACCCTCAGTTCGTTTTTTTTTTCAAGTGTGCACATTTGGGGTTACATTCTGACCTTCACCCATCTAATCGTAAAATTACAAAAGAAAAATCTACCTAACCCGGTTCAAGAAAAACCCTTGGAAAAGAACCGTGGTCCAAAGAAAAACCAAGGGGGAGGTACTACACTACCTAAAAGAAGAAAATAAAATAAAATAAAAAAATTCTACATGGACTACTTCCCTCAAGAGTACTGTCCACCTAGTCCGTCATCAGGAAGAGTCCTCTACAAGTTTTGTTTTGTTTTGATTTTTTTTTTTTATATATATCTGACTTTGACCCTCAAGAGACCCGTCAACAAGTGTCCGTCGTTGGGCCAAGTCAGCTACTCCTAATATAACACACTCACATATATACAACACATCACTCTAATGCTACAGCACAACAACATCTATATACATTACAATACACAGTTAGAGCAAGTCTCCCACCCCACACTTAAAATCATGGCATGTCCCCATGTCATATCAAGAAAGTAAAGAGCAGAAGGGTTAGAAGACTTCCCTGAGACTCAATTCGAGTCGGAGACGGTGCTGGGGTCTACATGGCAAGCTCTCCCCAGTGCACGTAACCAGGCCATAAACCGGTTCTCAGATCTAGCCTGCTTCTGCGACATGGCGTCCATCCGCGTGTGTAGGCCATCCACCGAGGTGCGGAGATCCGCGACCTCTTCCTCCAAGGAGCGCAGCATAGGCCGGGAGGACTGTGAGCGTGATAGGCCTGCTCTAGAATGGGGGCGCCGAGAGGACCCGGCATTGTCAACAGACCTCCTGGATGGTACAAAAGGAACCGGATCATCCTCCTCATCATCTATCTCAATTGTGGTGCGTGTACCCCTTCCCACTCTGATGCTAGAAGCTTTGAATGCTGCTTTGGGAGGCAAATCTCCATCGGCAGGATTGGTGGGGGTGTTTCTCATCAAGCACAATATGGTAAACAAGGAAGGGAAATAGAATCCCTTTGTCAGCAGCGGTCCCCGTAAGACCATTTCATCACCAATTATCCGGGCCGCATCAAAATCCTTCCCTGTCACAAAGCACCAAGTCAATAGTGCCCGATTGAAGTTCACATTCGTTGTATTGCTGGATGGCAGGAACCTGCTGCAGATAACAGTCAACCAACACTTGGCCAAGTGGGTGAAAGAGTTAGAGTTGAGGGTTATTTGGTCACGTAACCAAATGGGCTGCCCCCCTATGCAAAGTACATCCGTCATGACCTCCCATGTCACCCCTGGTCTGTCATGGTAATAGTCGACGTCACCGGTGAACGGAGGCAGCCGCAACACCCGGCGAATTGTTGGAACTTGAGCATTGACCACCGTATCCCGGACAATCACCTCCCTACCCAAGTTCAATGGGCAGTTGGCGTAAAATTCTCGAACCAACATCTTGTTAACTGGTGCAGGGTCGTTAAATAGGAATTCCATCTCCCGCCTCCGTATTTCTTCATACATCTCCACCTTTTCGGCTCGGAGGGCTACCCGATCAATCGGGATCTCATGGATAAAGGTCTTTGTAGCCTTGGCGTTGAAGTCGTCCTCCGCCAGTTCCGATTGGAATCTGGACTCATCATAAG